GAAACCTGAATAATGCATTACTTCTGAGCTTTTTCTTGAAGGGCTCGAGGACAGACATATGGATTATGGTTTAAAAATATAAATATGGTCTTTCCAGTCATAGAAATCTTCTGATCCAAGAGATGCTTTTCCCACTTAGAAAAAAAATATGGGTCTATATACTCATAAAGAACCAAGGCAAAATACATGGTATCTGACACTGAAAAAAACCTTACTGTACTTTTTGAGTATTGTAGCTCTATGATCACATAGAGTCAATTCTAGGTGCCAAGTTGCTATACTACCTTCTAGCCACCAAACCCTGTAACTATACATTTTTTGTTTGGTAAAATTATAGCAGAGCTGTTATTTTTAAAGATATTTTGTTCTATTTTATTGCCCATAGTTCATCTAGAAAAATGACTGTCACTTGTTTTTCTCACATACTTACCCTACTTGTCGACTTTTGTGAGTATGTGTGTGTGCATGGGCGAGTGCCTAATTAGCATGCCATTGTAGAAACAATTATGCATCCCACCACAGTATAGACTTGTCCTGATTTCTAACAGTCATTGAGTCCACACGGGGGAAGATTTGCACTTTATGGTTTATGCATACATATATGTTGGCAGTGCAGAATCTATAGAGTCTCTGTTTGGAAAGGCTGCTACCAATATAAGATTAATTTGAAAAGATTTCTGTCTAAACAGATCTGCTGCCTTCTTGTACAAAGCATACAAATATGAACTAATTCAATGTTATTGGGTTAAGACACAGATAGGAATATAAGGCTTGCAAATATAATTTGCTTAGTTAAATTTTTTGCAGATGGTCTAGTTAATCAGTGATAGGACCTGTGTCAGATGTCATTCATAACTACATTTTTATGAAGTGGAGAGTTGTAGGATACTTGCTAGATGTTCCTTGGTAAGATGTTAAAGCTGTCAAATACAAAGGCTATTTTTACTCATCTTTATATTCCCAGCAGTGTCTGGTATAGAGCAGGAGCTAGTGCTTACGAATGGATACATGGGTAAATGGAAATCACTCCTTAGATTGTTTGAAATGAAGAGACTAAGATGGTTCCTGGAAATAGAAAAATTATGTGTATGCCCATGTTTGCTGCTCCATTTTGGTTGAGAAGGAAATTGATTTTGTTTCATATATTTTTAGAAATATGGTCACTTAAAAATTATTAAAAATAATTACACACATTTTTATTGCTACATTAGTTTTTATGTGTTTTCTAAAAAATTGAACTAAAAAAATTATTTTGAAGTAAAGAAAAAACAAGACTCTTATTAGCTTCTCTGGCAACTAGTGTCCAGTAGTTTAAAGATATGTGATGGGCCTCCCCAGTGGCACAGTGGTTGAGCACTGGGTTGCAAAGCTGCCCTGCAGCCTCTGCAGCACCAGTTCAATCCCCGACCGCCGGTGAGGGTCCCACATGGCACGCAGACCTCTCCTGCTGCCTGCTGCTCCCCTCAGCAGTGTACTTCATCGGTCTGCCTGTTCTGTTCCCTGCTCTGACTCTGGTGAATTCTCTCACCCTCCCGTGCTTCTGACTGTACCCAGTGCTTGTATAAATAAATAAATCTTAAAAAATAAAAAAAGATATCATGTGTTACCTTTAGTTCAATGTGTGTGTGTGTGTGTGTGTGTGTGTGTGTATGTATGTGTAGAGTAGAATGATTTAGTGCCAGAGAATTACTAGATTAATTAAAACAGGAGCAGAAAAACCTTCATTTTCCAGAGTATTATTTTTTGTTTATTGAATTTTCTGTTCTGTACTATTTGCTTAAATTACTTGAGAGAAGTCCAATACCAGTCTCACTGAGCTAACATGCCCATGTCCCCTTTAGGAAATTCTGGGGACAATGCACTACTTCACTCTTTCCATCTTCCACCCATTCCATGGGTCACACCCCCACATCCACCTTCAAAGACAGCTTCAGCACATCTCTCTGGTTTCCTTTTACTGTCACATCTTGCTGGGACTCTCTCCTGACTTCTTGTACTTCGTAGAATCCTTGTGATTACATGGGGTCCCCTGGATATATCAGGCTAATCTCCCTATATTAAGGTTATTTGATTAGCAACTTTAATTCCATTTGTAACCATAATTCCCTTTTGCCATATAACATACCAGATCAACATTTTCTAGGGATTAGGATACAGACATCTTTGGGGGCCAGTGTTCTGCCTCTTACATAATTATAGAATGTTAATTGGTATCATTCTGTTGTGTTCACTGTTTTATGATAACTGTTATTCCACAATTCTAACTCAAACATTTAAATTTTTAAAGATTATAAATGAGATCACATCTTTTCTCTTAAAACCCTCCAGATACATTTAGAATGAAATGAAAGTCTCCTAATACATTTAGAATGAAAGGCAAACTCCTTACCAGAATTGTAGAGCCCTGTGTATCCTTGCACTGCCTCTCTGACTTCATGTCCTCCACTCTCTACCTTGACTGATATCTGCAGCCATACACACCTCCTGCCTAGGTCCTTTTCACTCTTAGCATCTTAGCTTGTCTCAGTATTTGCAATATTCTTCCTGCAGATTGTCATATCACTGTCTTTTGGATCCCAGGTTAAATTTACCTCCTCAGTGAGACTTCCATTATCTACCTGCCCCTACTTCTTATTTCAATTCCTGGCATAGCACTTATCACTTTCTAAGATTTTTCTAATTAATTAACCAACTAACTTCCAAGAGAGCAAGGAAAAGACTGGTTTTGCTTTCTGCTGTATCCTTTGTGCACAGAATAGTACCTGGCAGAGGTCAAGGTTTCAATAATTGTGGGTGACAAGGAAGAATGGACAAACAGGTTAATACATGACTTTATTATTGTGGCATCTGGATTGGTGTACCTCTGGATTCAGCACTGATTTTACAATGTCATAGAATTTGTCCTCTGTGAACATTTCTGTTCAGTGCCCATATTGCAAATCAATTCAAACTATTTTGCTTTTAAACTTGCATAACAATAGACATCTGGATTTTAAAAATTACCAGAGAAAGCACACGATGATGCAGACCTGTGATCCTAACCAGAAATAGACCTAACATTTCTTTAGGAGGTTTTGTGGTTCTGTTTTCTGTGCTAGTGATATAACTAGGAATTCACTATTAAATGAATCTTATCAATATTCTTGTTGAATGTATTTTCCAGTATGAGAAACTTCTTAGGCTTTTGCTAAAAATGGATCTGCCATACACTCCATCAGTTCCACATCTAGATATCTACCAAACACAAAAACACTCCAATGTTTATTGCAACACTATTTACAATAGCCAAGATATGTAAATAACCCAAATGCCCAAAGACGGGATCAAGCAGATATGGTATATATACACAATGGAATATTACTGAGCAATCAAAAAAGATAAACTCATGCCATTTGCAGCAACATGGATGGAGCTGGAAGGGATTATGCTCAGTGAAATAAACCAGAAAGAAAAAGATAAATGTCAGATGGCTTCACTTACATGTGCAATCTAGAAAAATTAAAGGGTCAAACAAAGACAAATCTTGAAAGCTGACCATAGTTCTGAGTCATTCAGCAGGGAAGAAAGAGGGAAAGGATGAAAATGGGGTGGGGGAGAACACAGTGGAGTATGGTAGAGGACTATGGGTGCTTTGGTGGTGGGAAAGCTACAGTGACCACACCTGAGGGGAGAAATCCTATGCTGTCAAAAAATTTACAGGGGTATAAAATAATGGTGCTTCATTAAAAAATAATTAAAATTTAAATTTAAAAAATGTCTTTGGCTTTTGGCCTTGCTACTCAATTTATAGCTATGCACTTTGTACGTGTTAATCAATACCTTAGTAACCCCTTTCCTCCAATAGTCTTTAATCAAGCAGATGAGAAAGGTTTTGAAATCTTAAAGTGTGGGTATGAAATCACAGCCATGGACTAAGAAGTCCCCTACTTGCTTCCCCATTTTAATTCCTTCATTGAGAGTAGAAATAATGGGTAGAAGAGAGCATTTAATGGTTTTGTGACTATAGTGGCTCCGAGCAGAATATATCAACAAAAGAGAGTTTAGGAACAAATTATAGAATGCCACCAGGGCTGACATTATATTTGAGATGCTCCATTCACATTGAAACATGCTTATTGTTATGCTGATGTAATGATTACCTATTTTTAAAAGTGCCAGGATACTGGGATTATCTCCTATCTAGCGTGTTTGAATTTTATAGCTGATAAGGAGCTGATGGCTCAGGAAATTGAGTGACTTCTCCAGCCTTGTGCCAGAGATGGGTCTCAGGGCTTTGATTTTCTGATCCTACAAATAGTGCTTCTTCTACCACATTATATTCTAGAAAGCCATTTAAAAACTATTGTGTGATCCCAGAACATTTGATTCCAGAACAATTTAAAATTTTATGTGTAATAATAGGATGTTTAAAATTTTTTGATGGATAGAATAAGGCAGGGGTCATAAACTGGCCTGTGGGCTAAATTGAGTCTGCTCTTTGTTTTTGTATATAAAATTGTATTGGAACACAGACATACCCATTCATGTAGGTATTGTCTCTGGCACCACAACAGTAGAATCAGTATCCTAAGAGCAACAGAGATCATATGACCTGCAAAGCCTAACATAGTTATTATCTGGATCTTTACAGAAAAGATTTACTAAAATCACCTTGAAAAAAAAATCACCTTAAAAATTATCACTTTCGGTTTGCACTAAAATGTAAGCAAAATACACCACCTAAAAAAGCTAAAAGGCTAGTAAATTGCTTAGAGATATGAATTACCTGTCATGAAAGAATAAAAAGTCCTCCCCCATTAAAAACAAGCTAGAACTAGGTTTTTAGAGATTCTTGGAACATCTGGACTTAGAGATCTGGTTGCCAGAATGAAGCCCATGACTTGAAAGGAATGGACTCAATAGGGGAAATGCTTCCAGCTGTCATGTATGTTGTGCTAACTGTGCTAGCTGTCATGTATGATGGAACTTGATCACTCACCAACTATCCTCCTCCTTGGCAGGTGGAGTGGATCCAACAGCAAGTGGTAAAAAAACGGACGAAGAGGGATTATGACTTCAACCGTGCCCAGTCTACTTATTTCAATGATCCCAAGTGGCCCAGCATGTGGTACATGGTAAGCTTGCCCGGCCCAGGGCAGTGTCATCCAGTCTTGTGTTGCCCAGTAAGCACCTATTGAGACTGGGAGGTCCCTGAAACAGTGACCAGGGACTTTTTCCTCTTTCAAACCCACCACTGTGTAGCAGTAACTTTCTAAGTTTGAGCCAGAGGATAAGAAAATATAGTAAGGAACAGACCCTCTTCAACCTATGAAACATATATTCACTCTGATAATGCATTTACTTCTCTTTGAAATCAACTTGTTAATGGATATTGACTCTTAGAAGTCATTGAAATGACTATTGGCAATTTTTGATTTAAGTTTTTTAATATGTGCCTTTTTACTTCAGGTACTAGTTTTTAAAACTTGACTAAGAAAACACTGATTGGACAAGTGTTTGATCTGTAGATAGTTAAGTGGTTGCAGCAAAACACACTTAACATGTTACAAAGCATGATCCACCAGTTCACCTGACATTGCCACCTTTGGAAATATTCTCATCCTGGGTCTATGTTCATGACTGCTGAAAAATGCATTAGCTATGTTGCTTATTATTTATTATGAACCCATATATCATCAAGTTGTCCTGTAATCTGCAAAATGACCATTACTTTTCTCTTTTTTGAAAATATTTATTGGTAATTATTGCCAATGCAGTTGCCCTGAATCTTTTTTCACAATCGCTCTCCCTGCTTCTCTATAAAGTCAAGACATTTCACATACCTGCTTGCGCTTTCCTGCCTGTTGCTTTCATCCCTTGGTCTGGAGTGCTCTCTGCCCTTCCCATCTCCTCTGGCTGGGCTAATCCATCCTTCAGAGCTACCCCTGAAGCTGATGGTGCCTTTCCTTATGTCCTCATCTCTCACCGTTTTTCCTTCCTCTGTTCTCATAGGTCTTCTGTCCCAGTCACTTGGGACATTCTTCACTTGTTACTTACTTTTGTAGTTTATAATGTTTTTAAAAAATTTCTCTCTTACACTGGGGCTGGGAGGTGAGGTTCGGGGGGAGGCCTCTGGAGAACCCAAACTTGCACCCTGCCATGCTCAGCATTTGTTTATTTGGAGATAGGTGAATGTGCCTGGCATTTTCTCCACTTTCTCTTTTCTTAGTTTCACCCAGAAGTCAAAGATGGAAATAATTTGGACCCCAAATAGAATTTTCCACAGAAAATGCTTTCAGGAATTAGGAAAAAAATACAAGTAAAGTAGGAGTTAGAAGTTACCTGAGGAGATAGTAAGACACTTGAGAGCTTATTAGCTCCAAGACCAAGAAAGAGTGACACATAAGGGAAGGCCTCAGAGTGTTGGCAGGAGCTAAGGAGCTTTGTCTGCACTGACAAAATGATAAGAGTGTAATGGGATTAAGAGATAGGATGGAAGCAAAATCCCTTTTCACCCTTGTTTAGAATGTCAGGTAGGGGGAAACCCGCCTTGCCTTACATGTCTTGTTAGAAAGAACCAAATGACTTTCTGTACTTGTCCTGCTAGGCAGTGGGAGTACAGCTCTCTCTGATTCTCTCAAAATTCTGCTGGGCAGGGTTCACCCTAGTTGGACTCATTGCTGAGGTGTCACCTTGACCGCCTGGTGACCATAAAGGTTTAAATGCCTGTATGGTGCACTCTTTACTCTGAAGACCCACTGCTATTTCTTTGGAAAAGCTCTTTTGATAGGAGAAATTGTTTCAGAATAAGGGAAGAGATTCTGTTGGGCCATTTAAAATGTTGAACATTTTCAACACAGTAATAATTAACATAAGAAGCATTTATTGTTATTTTTTTCTTATTTATACAAGCACTGGGTACAGTCAGAAGTGCGGGAGGGTGAGAGAATTCACCAGAGCCAGAGCGGGGAACAGAACAGGCAGACTGATGAAATACACTGCTGAGGGGAGCAGCGGGCACGACAGCAGAGGTCTCTCACGCCATGTGGGACCCTCGCCGGCGTCCGGGAATCGAACTGGTGCTGCAGAGGCTGTGGGCAGCTTTGCAGCCCAGCACTCAACCACTGCGCCATTAGGGGAGGCCCAGGAAGCATTTACTGAGCACTTACTATGTGCCAGATAATGTGCTATAGGAGCATTTCTCTAAAGTAGTATAAATAATAGTGTGTGAATATTGACCCTATTATTAAATTAAATTGAGAAACAGTAAAACTTAGGTACCTTGCCTAAGGTGAACCAACCTCAAAGTGGGAGAGCAGAGATGCCAAACCAAGCAGTTTGATGAGAGCACATAGGGTTAGCCCTGCAGCCTATCACCACCACCCCCTCTTTGTTTAAAGTGCCATCATAAGGAGAACTCTAGTCTTACCCTCCAGGAACTTCTAGTCTATCCACAGAGAAGGGGCTAAAATAAAGGTAGGATGGTGGATGCCATGTAGGATGAACAAAGTATCTTGGGGACCAGCAACATGCTTCAAAGCTTCCTGTTCAGTAATGGCTTTTACTTAACAAAAGCCATGGGAAATAGGTTTACACATTTTACGTTTATCTGTCAGGAGCAATATGACAGGATGAGAGCCAGAACTTCAAATTTACAAATCTGGATTCAACTTCTCATTTCTTTACTTACTATGCCCATGACTGAATCCTTTAAACTGTTCTCAATTCTAAAATAAGAGTACAGTTAATATATTACTTTATGATGTTCTGTCAGCAATAGACAATATATGACAGTGGCCACAATAAGCCACAACATGTAGTCTAGGTAGGCAGTAGGCTATGCCCTCTAGGTTTGTGTAATTATATCTTGTTCAACAAAAATGAAATCGCCTAACTATGAGTTTATCAGCACATATCCCTGTCATTAAGCAATGCATGGCTGTATCTAGACCTTATGTAAGTTAGCCATCAGCATTACAAATCACAGAGCTTAGTTTTTAAAACAATAGTTTTCTCATGGGTTCTGTAGGTCAAGCATATACATTGGGTAAAGCCTTGATAATGCTTCTGTTCTGTGGTATCTGGGGTTTCAGCTGGAAGACTGAAAAGCTTGACTAGCGCTAGAAGATCCACTTCCAAAGTGGCCTAGCTACCCGCTGGTTCCCATCCACATGAGCCTCTTGTCACAGGGCTGCTTGCGCTGACTTCCCCAGGGGAAGTGATCCAAGAGGTCATGTCCAGAGTGGTGATGTCTTTTGTGATCTAACCTCAGAAAACAGTTCTATGATTTGCCATTGGTCACATGTGCCAACATGTGAGAGGGGAATTACAAGAGGGGAAGAATCGTAGGACATAAGGATCATAGAGGAACAAGATTACCAAAATCAAATGCAATATTGCTTGAGAAGCTTTTAGTAGTGTCTGACACTAGAAAACATTCGACAAATCATAATAATTGCTATTCTCTCTGACTTAATTATAATACCTGTGCTTTCCTTTTTATCTGCTGTTTAAATTGCTACTAGTCAAAAAAGAGTGGACTTGCATGTCCAGGGGGCGTTCTTCAGAACATTCTGGTGACACATCAGTGACAGCTGAGGCAAGGTACTGATTTTCATCTTCTTCCTCTATCTGAGCCCCTGCCACAGTGTTTTTGAGGGTGCTTCAGTGGGGTCCTGCCTGAAGCTCTTTAGCCTAGGCTCCTCCCTGTCATTCTGTTTTTATTATGGGAGAATGGATATTCAAGATTGGCATGAAGTGTGCCTGAGTGTATTTTTCAATTAATTTAAAAGCATTGCCTTTTTCACTCCTCCCCTTGGAAAGTGGGGTGTGAAACTATTATGTTTAGCCTTGCAGCTTGGACAATATATTCAGGGGAATGTGAGTGTGTGATGGAGATGATGGCTGGACAATTACTCCTCTGTCCTGAAATGGCACACTCATGCTTCCCAGAGTTGGGAGCATCTGATCTTAGAAACAGAGCCCACTTTCTGTTACATCTTGTTGCACCTTCTCCTGCATCTGCTCTTTGTCCAGCATGGTAGCAAGTACTGAAAATTTAGGAAAAAATTGTTTGTGATTTCTAAGGTTAGCAAAGCAGGGAAACATATATAATACCAGTGAAATCTTGCTGGGCAAATGACTCCTCCCCTAGAAGTTTCTCTGGGATCATATACCTGTGTCCAGCCACTGAGCTTTGGGATTTGGGCTGTAATTGTTGCTTACAGGTTTGCTTCTTCCATTAGAATCTCCTGAGTAGTTTTTAAAGCATGTCAGTTTGGCACCCATGGGAGACTCTTTATGTGCTGGTGAGTGGAGCTCCCAGGCAGTAGAATTACATGTCAGGGCTTTCTGAGTATTTCTGATGTGCAGCCAGGATCTGGAAGCTCTGCTGCCAGGAATCCTATAATATTCAATGCCAGGGGCCTCCCCGGTGGTGCAGCAGTTGAGCGCTGGGTTGCGAAGCTGCCTGCAGCCTCTGCAGTGCCGGTTCGATCCCCGGCCACCGGGCGAGGGTCCTACATGGCGCGCAGACCTCTCCTGCTGCACCCACTGCTCCCCTCAGCAGTGTATTTCGTCCATCTGCCTGTTCTGTTCCCCGCTCTGGCTCTGGTGAATTCTCTCACCCTCCCGTGCTTCTGATTGTACCCAGTGCTTGTATAAATAAAAATAAATAAATCTTTAAAAAAAATTAAAAAAGAAATTAAAAAAAAATATTCAGTGCCAGGCATGTGGTAAATAAATGCTCAATACATGCTACTTGAATGAATAGATAAGTAAACTGGAATGAAAGTGAATCTGTGATAACTTAGAGAGAGGTGATTGCTCACATTTATTGAGTGCTTGGTGTCAAGCCTTTTTGCCAAACTTTTACATCTATTATTGCCAAAATTCTAGTGAATTTAGGAACTATTATTGTCTTCATTTTACACATGAAATTAAAAAGTTAAGTTAGTTTTCAAAGTCACAGCATTTACCCGAGGCAGATGCTGGTATTCAAAACATACCCAATTGTGAGGCTTCCAACTTGGTTTCCAAAGTAGCAGGCATCACAATCATCTGTGGGATTGTTGCCCACCCTCTCACGCCCCCCAGCGGAGATCTGGGAATTTGCATTTCTAACAATTTCCCAGTT